CGATCTATCAGACCACAGTCAATAACAAGATTTGGGAGATCAGCTGATAGCAAACCTACCAGTCTATATAGCAGACATGAACGATCTACCAGACCACAGTCAATAACAAAATCTGTGTAATCGGTTGATAGCAAACTAACATGTCGATATATACCAGATAATGACTTTCACCGACCGCAGTCAATAACATCAAGAATCCAATCTTTGATTATTGTTGTTTAGTGTGGGGAAACACTAAGATTGATAATTTAAATAGGCTCCTCAGAATTTAAAAACGTTGTGCCAGAGTAATTTTAGACGCTAGCATCTATGAAAGTTCAGTTGGCCTTTTCAAGAGGTTAGGCTGGATCCTCATTAGTGACATAATAGAGGTCAGGAAACTGTGTATTGTGCATAATATTATCCATAGGAAGTGTCCTGATCACTTTACTCATTATATTCGTTTTGTCAATAACATCATTACACAACTCGGACGTCAACTAACATGGACTTAACCACTCCTTTTTTAACACCAAGACCGGCAAACGTTCATTTTTTGCAAGTGGCACTAGACTATGGAACAATCAAGACAGTACTACGAGGGGCCTCAATCCCCTTCGTAAATTTAGAAATCCAGTATTCAAGAAATACAAATATCGGAATTCTAGAATTGACAACTTTATTATTAGTAGATATTTATAATGAATTTTCAATTGTATTATAACAAGATGTGGGAGATCAGCTGATAACAAGCTTTGCTTTCTTCAGAAAAAAATAGAAATAAAGAAACTTCGTTAAATAAATGTTCAGTGTTTTCTCTCTCTCTCTCTCTCTCTCTCTCTCTCTCTCTCTCTCTGTCTCTCTCTGTCTCTCTGTCTGTCTCTCTCTGTCTCTCTGTCTCTCTCTGTCTCTGTCTCTGTCTCTCTCTGTCTCTCTGTCTCTGTCTCTGTCTCTGTCTCTATCTCTCTCTCTCTCTCTCTCTCTCTCTCTCTCTGTCTCTCTCTCTCTTTATTTCAGGGCTGTTTTTAAGTAGCGTATATTAAAGGATTAGCAAAAGCAACATTCATAGACTCAGTAAGATGCTGTTTAGTAGCGCATTTTGGGTGGCACATTTGCCTTACAAATGGTGCTAGTTATCAACAATTACCGCGTCTGCGTATGTTGTATAAGCTCATTCTTTTGCGCTAGTGAAAACAGACTTTTATTAGTATCAATAGCGAGCATTTTGACGTTATGCGTAGAAAGCACATTCCTTGACATGAAGTGACATACCATGCAGATGTTCAGCGACTTGAGTTTTTCAAGGTTAGCAGAACTACAAAGAAAACAACATACATTTTGAATACAGCAATACAGGTCAGATAGGGGTTTGTGTCAATGGTATCTCCGAGGGCTCGTTAGCAATATCCTGTCTCCAAGAGAGCACAATAGCTTGTATAAAGAACTTGAAAAGAAATCCAGTATGTTTGGTAGAGGGCACCAAAAGATTTACTGAAATAAACCGCATTGTTAGTCTCGTCCCACCATACAAGCAACATGAAATCGTGTTGTTCGAGAATAAGAACTCATTTTAATTCCTGATAAAGTTCAGCTCTGCCGGTCTGCGGAGGAGCAAGAGAGGTAAGTGGGGAACAACTGAGTTTTATTATTGGGGAACAAGTGAGAAATTGACAAATTTTTAAGGGGACAAGTATTCTTCTCCCCCCGGAGGCCCTCTGCATTGTAATCGAAAACGTTTCCTCTCTAAGCTGTAATTTTGTAGAAACAAGGATATAACCAAGGCCGGTTCGTGGAACTAAGGAACAGCAATGTAAATGCTGACTATTTTTATTCATCAGCGGAAATAAAACTTGGTTATTGCCAGTCTCACGAGGGAGTTTGTTTACGATAAATCATGGATAAACCGACGCGCGAGTGCAAATGTCACAGAAGTTAGCTGATATTTGTGCTTCCCGCTTAGAATACTAGATATAACACAAGTATTTTTTTTAAAAAATTAGCTTTTATGCTTAAAAATTACCTCAAAAGTGAAAAGAAGATGTTTAGCATGAATTTTTAGGGCAAATGTTCCATTTAACTTGTGAGTTTACCGCAACTGGAGCCGTCACGCAAAGTGTCATCAAAGGTCATCAAATCGTAGTTCAGTAGATGGGACCTCTACTTGCTAATGACAAAGTAAAGAAATCAAATAATCTACAGAACAATACAATGGCGTAACGAGGAGGGTTCCTGGGGTTCCCGTTGACCCCCCTTTTGTGAGCCTTTTTTAAGCAAACAACCTATACCAGGTGGCGAAAACGACATGACAATCTGGTGAGTACCCTCCCTTTGACACAGTGTGACCTCCCTTTGAAAAATCCTCGCTACGCCCCTGCAATGGTGGCCTTTAATTTGTAAGTATGTTTACATCTGTCTGGAAAACTTCAGCCGTTCACATAAAGGTAATGATCTCAGCAACAGACAACTATTATTACAGGCGCAGAACGCACTCCTAATCTTTGATTGCTACTTAGTATTATTGTAATATTACAGGGTGGTGTCGTGGTAAGGTGTCCGAACACGGAATCGGAAGTCGGAACACAGAGAGCCCTCACGTCCGTTTAGAATATGAATAAAATATCGAGCTACCGTAAATCCTCGAATTTGCGCCCGGGGCGCTTATTTCAAATTTAGGAGAAGACGGGTTGCGCTTATTCGAGGGGGCGCTGGNGGGGGGGGGGGGGGGGGGGGGCTTATTTAATTTTTCCCAAATCGTGACCTGACATGATCATTTTTTTAATACATCATCTACACGTAAACAACAACTTAAGCTGTTTATCGACATAAAAAGCTGATCCGCGGCACCATTAGAAATTCACGTGGTCACAAACTGAACCAATGTTCAAATCTAAAACTAAACGACGAAAACTATACATCATTTGCTGTCTCATTGCTCGTCCACAAAATGGAGGGAGGGGAGGGGGGCGCTTATTTTAAATTTTGGCCGATAAGAGGGGCGCTTATTCGAAGGGGGCGCTTATTCAAGGATTTACGGTAATCACGTTGTATTTTGCTGTACATGTGTAGGTACTGCAACTCGACACTAAACAGACACAATGGGGCTCCCAAGGCTTGTTTAGTCATGTGTTTATGTTTGGATCTCAAGTGTTTTTTTTTTTGTTAAATATTGGCCTGTATCAGGTGTGAGCTTTACCTTAATCCCCTCCAAAAAATTACAGTTC